GGCCGGGTCTGGCTTCCCCCTTTCGGGGGTCAGTCTCTTCTCCAGAATAACAGGAGGACTGCTAGGACAAGAGGAAATGGCCTCACATTGCGCCAGGGGAGGTTCAGGTTAGACATTAAGAAGTTCTACATGGCTGCAGGCTGCCCAGGGAAGTGGTGGACGAGAGGCACAGGAACACGGTTTAGGAGGCAGGATGATGATGGGCTGAACCTGATGATCTCGAGCGTCTTTCCCAACCATAATGATTCTTTAACCACTTTTTTACTGTGGTTGCTCAAAACCACACACACATCTCTATCCAAAGAGCATTTACTGTCTCAAGCAATAAAAAAAACAGGCTGAAGAGTACACTGACTTTCACGTAAGGAGAACTGAAGGCTTCTGGGGAATGAGTTAACAAAGAATCACACGAGGAGAAGCACAGGGGACATTTATAAAACACCTCACCCCTTTCAAAAGAACAACGGTGTAAATCTAAATTGCAGAGCTGCTCCTCCCCGCCGTTCCTGCGCACACTCATTACGCAAAGCGGCTGCCAGCGCGGTGCCTGTTAGCACAGCTCACACATCACACATTAAACACCTGATTTTATTTTCTAAGCGTGCTAAGTTCATGAAAATATTTTTTTTCATACATTCCTACAAATGGAAAATATTCCGATTTATAGTCTCTGATACTAGTGAAAATACATTTCTGCAAAAGGGATATTCAGTATCTGCTTCTATAGCTTTCGTTAGCTATGAAAAACATTTGTGAATACATAAGCTGTGTGTGCGTTTCACATGTACAATGCTTTAGAGGAACCAAAGTTGACCAGTATTCAATATGGCAATAAATAAGAATAAAATTAAAGTGTAAAAAGAATAGTAAAACTTCCCCCCTTCCCAAATTGATGTATTGGACTTGATAGATGACTGCCTTGGTTAAAAACCAAATAGCTAAAAGGAATCACTGCGTCCTTTCCTTGTCACTTCCAAATCAGGCTGCAGCCTCAAAAAAAGCAATCAGTCCATCTTGATCACAGCCATCCAGAATCTCCAGAAGAAGAGGAACTTTTGTTTTCACATTGGTGCCTTTAAATTTAAATTTATCTATGAAGAGATCTGTGATCATACCTGCAAAAGTAAAGTTCCAAGATTTTTGTCTTGTTTTCAACTATGAGACATCTCTACTAACAATGTTTTAAGCAATTATTTACTTCTAAATAAATCCAAAACACCCTCCCATTATCCCAGATTTCAGCTTAATTCCAAAAGGTGTGTGTATATATATATACTAGCCTTAGAGTTACCCACACCTGAGACACTCAGGAGAAAGGAACATTCCACAGGTAGGAAAGGACAGCTCATTACTAAACCTAGCACCTGAGCTAAAAGCTATATGGGCAGAACCACCAGAAAATGCAACAGAATTTCCTTCACTTAATTAGATCAAAGATTTTCCCTTCACATCCCATGCCTATTTTTATGTTAATTTTTATGTTTATGTTAAGTCTTTTTACTTTGGCAGAACTTAAATCACTCATTCAACTTAGATATATTCATAAATGCCATCTGGAATTGGAATACATTCCTTAATTGTGTTCATAAATACAAGGGTCATCGGAATATAAAAAGCTGCCTATTAAATAGAAGGTACAAAAGTCACTTGCAAATAACCCTGACAATCCCAGCACTGTGCTTACGACAGATAATTTTGGGAGTTCTCAGGCAAACAATTCTGAAAGACCTTAGCGGAGTTATTCAAAATTTGTAGAAGCAAAACCAATTTCATCATGTGCTACGTTCTATTGCCTTTTAGCTCTGGAATCCTACGACCAAAAATACTGTGCAACATGGTGTAACAGCCTAGCTGTAAGAGGAGATGGACAGATACACTTAGACACCTATTTGTCTCCTGAAGCTACTCAAATGTACCCTTGTATCAAATTATTTCAATGCCACGGCTACTGACTTGATAACTATTTCAATCATGTCCAATGTATTTTCTGAATATTAATTTGCATTTAGAAAAAAAAAAGCTGGGTTGATCAACAAACCATAAAGTCTCTCAAGATGCGCAGGTTGTTTCTTGTATTCCTCAAGTAGCTGATCCGACTCTTCTAAAATGCTACGGTACTTAGGGAGCAAGAAGTCCACATTTCCTTCATGGACTTGTAATTCCTCAAAGACATTTTAAATTGTGAAAATTAAAAGAACGTAAATGTAACAAAAATGCAGCAGGGATTAAACAATGCCTTTCAAAATGACTTGCTAATTCAGAAGTGCCTTTTTCTCTAGGTTTTCTAATACCAGATGTTACCTGTCTCTTCATACGCTAGGTTTCTCAAAAGTCCTCCATATTACAGCTCTGAGCTCCTAGTGCTGCCGGAACAGGTTCAGTGCACAGCTCAGCCTCTACAGCATCCAGCTGCATCGCAAAGCTTTCACCATGCTTTTATAACTGTTACTATCAGATCCAATTAATACAGATCCTTTTATCCTGTACAGAAAGGCTGTTCTATTCTAGACTGAAGGTAATTATGCATTTTGAGTCTTAAGTGCTAACAGCTTTCGTCAATCACCAGATTATTTTATTGCTGCTTAACAAGTTAGATAACAGTGGCACGAAAAAAAGTTAAATGTTTGCTATGCAAAAAAAAAAAAAAAATCCCAAGACAAGCACAAAACACCAAGAGCTCCAGCATCATTACCTGTGCACAAATGTAACATGCAATAATGAATTCTCTATTATTTTGTATCTCTCAGGTTTTCCTGTTTTAACTGATAACTAAAATATACAACATATTCTGTGCTCACTAGTAGTGAAGTTTTTCCACTAAGCAGAATTCAGACAAACTAGTTAAGTGCAAGAAGAATCAGCTGCCCATGTCCACTGTTCAATTTAAATACCCTCAACAACCATCAGTGATTCTCCATGTGTTATTTGCTAGTACAAATAGGAGTTTTACTTTAAAATGTGTGTCTCCAACATAACTACTATGTGTGTCTTGGGAACAGAAGAGGTAACATTAAGGCACATATCTGACTTGAGCCATACAGATATTTACTAATATAATCCACACAGAAAGCCTCCAGAGAATACTTACTTTCAAAGCATCTATTAAGTGAACCTTCTTGGCCAGCAGCTGCTGATACTCTAATTTGGGGTGGATAAGCTTTAACGTATACCTCACAGATTCTTCGTTTATGTCTAGTAGGGCATCAAAAAACAGGAACAACAAGCAAATGAATAATACATTTCATTTTAAAAAATATAAAATGAAGTCAAAGACAGTAAAACAGCAAAGAAGTTTTACCGTATGATATATTAAGATTAATCTTCCTTTTAGTAGCCTCTTTGGAAAGCACATCTTTTAGGATGGATATGGTGGATATGTTGTCAGACTTAAAAAGTCCTTCACCTTTTCTATAAAAAGAAGAAACCTTTTAAACAAGCGGGCCAACCTAAAACAGCTGTATGCATTAGATATTTTCCCATTTTAAAATGTAAGACCCATAGTTTAATAATGAAATCAGAAAACAAAGAAACAAACCACCTCTATATTGGTCATAATGATTCTTGTGATTCTATTGTGTGGTTGTATACATCCATGTTACTCCCTCCTCTCCTACTGACAGTGTAATCTCGTCAGGGAACAGAATCTGTTCCAAGAGTTCATAGAAAGCAGTATCTTCAGGCATACACAGATAAAGCCATTTTATCTTACTTGATACACGGCATTAAGGTTACACAAGTAAGATTCTGCATGGCATTCAATATACCAGTTTTTTTTTAGATTTCTAACACCTGGAAGGCAAACAGGAAGGCGAGCTTCATTACCAGAAAGGGGGAAAAACAAACACGTCTCTCCCCAAAAAGGACCTCAACCACTTTCTAGCTGTTAAGGATTATATCATTACTGTGCACGATTCAATCAGGGTAATCTTTAACAGCCCCTTTCAAGCAAAATTTTCCATTATCTCTACTGGGAGTTTTTACTGGAGACAGGAAGTGAGAAGGATGGAGAGGCAAATATTAGCATGTGCATGAGAATAGTCCTCATAGACTAGTCAAAAATAAAACACACAGCCGCAGCAAAGTCCACTCTCCTTCTGTAACTATATTTTACCTGTAAGTACTTTCAAGCTGTGTACCCAGAAAGGTGTTCTGAAAATAAAAGGTGACACTCTCTCCAGCTGGAGTCTTTTCAGGAACTTCGGGCAAGCAAAACACAACCCAGGAATGAATTTCAGCAAAACTGAACTGGCCTTTGAGCATCAGTGTATTCATGGGTCTACGACATTAGGAAAGTAAAAACTTGCCATTAGTTGCTAGGAGTGGCACTATCAGTGCACTGGATATCCCTATGAAAAGGAAAAATAAACACGTAATTCCATGTGATTATCTTGTTTATCATCAGCATCCTGCAAAAAAACAACATAAAAACCACCCTTGGCCAACTCCGGTACCTTGATAAGTAGTAATACACTGCAGATTAGTTTTCTATAACTCAAGACAAACAGCTATGAGTATGTGCAAATTTTATCTACTAGTAGGTATGGCAAAATTGGGTAAGAACCAGTTGGAGGTTTTAGGCATACCTATTTCAAGTTGTTAAGCTTGACATTTATGATAAAGGTAAATAACTGACAAAAGAAAAAGATACAACTAAAAGCCTCAGAGTCCTTCCACTCTGTGAAGCACAGACAGACAGCATTTACATCGAAACAAGGGAACACCTTGGCACTTCAAGCAAATACCTGATGAATGATTTTTTATCATTAATTCAATCCTTCAGTTTATATTACCATCTATTATGGTAATATAAGATACTGATTAAGGGGGAAGTCAAAATTTGGTAAAACAATGAGGGATATGGGGAAAAAAGTCACTCAGGAGCTAAAGTTAGCAAAGGGAAAGAATTACAGCAAAGGGGTTAGGGGGAAGCTGAGGCTGAAACTGAGAAAGACAGTGTCATGAAGGACAGTTTCCTTTCTGTCACACCCTTAGCTCCACGGACACACAGGGCTGCACTACCACACCCTGTCAATAAAATAATATCCAATAATCTGAAAATAAAGATAAAAACATCAAAGAAAGCAGGAACCTGCTAAACCTGCCCTTTTTTGTCAGAAAACGCATTAAATGGAACGGCAGCTCAAGTTCTTAAACTGAGCATAATTGCTTAAACTTCTACAGTAAACCCTGTTTCAACTGCACTGCATCAGAAAGAAAAGCATTGATTTTTCTTTGTAAATACCGGTCTCGGTCAATAGAGTGAGTTCTCTGATGAAGTGAAAGTGGTTTAATCTGGTATTGATGAACTTGGCAGGTTTTCGGTTGAATTCTTGGAGTTACATATGCTTGAAGTGTCCCATATTGTCCTTCAATTGATCGAACCTGCATAAATAGAAGCAGAACCCACAAGCAAGAACAGGAAGGAAAAGATGAATTTACCAGAATTCAGAGAATTGGTGGGTGTTCAAAATTTAATAAAGATAATCCGTATTTCAGCAGGTTTTTTTTTAAATCCGTATTGCAGCAGGACTACAGTACAGAGTACAGAAAACTGTACAGTATTTACTGCGGTAATAGTTGACCACATCAAGAGAAAGCCTAGATAGAGCTAAATAGTCTCTATGTGTGTTTTGAAGATTATCTTTAGTAATCATGTTTTCACACATTTTCTCAGTGGTAACCACATAAACAGGGAATACGCAGCAGCAGAAAGGTACTACGTGAGAGTAACTTGGCTCATCATTTGCTCAGGTTAACCAGTCAATCCAGGAGGAGATGTCTGTATCCCTAAGGCAGCACACTGCCACATACCAAAGCAACACACTGCCACATACCATATAATTTCCCATGGAAAGTATTTTGTGTCATTTTACCTTAAGTTCAAGTCTTGTAGTATTTGCTTGGCATCGGTAGGTTGCAAGAACAAAGTTGCTATTTGGCTGTGAACAATAAAAAACAGTGGAATAATATAAAACAGGTCAAACAAAACAAAAATCACCAAATAAGTAGTTTAACTCCATATATTTAATACTGCAAATATATCAATCCAAATTCGGTGTTTTTTTTTTTATTATAGAAAGAGTATTAAGCTCTTTCATAATGCAATCTTTAAGTATTATTTCCTTTGTTTCACTTACCTCAGAATCACAGCTGCTGAAACTAACAACAGCAGAATTTTTATCCACATCCAGCAAGTCTATTGGGACATCACTCTGTAGAACATATAAGGAAGGGAAAATAAAAAGTTTTAAATCCTGAGTAGCTTCTAATATATTTATCCTCTAACTCTAATCAATCTTTTTTCATAATAGTGAGGCAATATGGTTACTTCATTATTCATAGCAAAGAGGTAAAAGCTTAACAGACATGCAACTTATTCCATAAAGTTTATTTTTCAGAGGAATACGACAATGTCTCTTACGGTGTCTCAAACTCTTGCATGGCTGCGTTAACGAACAAAAAAAAAAGTTTTATTGCATTCTCTAGCAACAGAAGGAAATACCAAGCATTACCTCAGAACTTCGATCCTTTTCTTTATACAAAAGCACACTCTGCAATAAATTCAGGCCTAGATAAAAACAATTTGAGTATTCCTTGCTGAGCTAATGAAACTGAAGAAACCACAGAACTGCAAACTTGGTGTGCCTTAACACCTCTGATATGTGGCAGTGGTGATTTATGGCAAAGTCCTTTGCCATAAAAATATGCAACAGGAAAAAAAAAAATCATATAGTAGCTCCCTCCACTCTAATATGGCAAATTTACCTAAACAGAAATTCTTCCTGGTCAAATTTTGCTTCCCAGGCATATCCCAAAAGAAATTTAACTCAGTACTACTATTCTTCTGACTACAAAGACATTGCAACAGCTGAAATGAATGTTAAGAAGAATAACTAATTAAGATAGTGTTAATTAGCAGAAATATTTGTCACTAAGAACATAAAAATCCGATACTGAATTTGTTCAATTGCACAGAAGTGACCCATACCATTCTCCAAGTGAATCTTCCGGTACAGAAGATTACACAACAAACATGTAGAACAAGTGCATCAATACCCCAAGGCTGCACATTTCAGCTGCCTATCAATTCAGACAGTTAAGAACAAACACATACTTAGCAGCTTATAGCTTGTCTTTTTAAACAGAAAGTCTCCTCATGCTTTTAACTTTTACTTAAATCTCAGTGAAAGCCAACACGAAAACAAATGCTCTCACCTGTACCAGGACATTATCTATAGCTGTCTGCACCTCCAAGATGAGGCTGTAGCTGGCATCATCCTTATTTAATGTAAACTTATCATTCACACTGAACACAGGCACTGATGAAACAGCAGTACTGGACTGAGAAGACTGCTGGTATTTTTCACGTTCCTGGAGTACTTTTATCTGTAAGCTTTCCAGTTCACTCCTAGAAAAGAGAAAACACAAACTCTTCAGAAAAGTTAACTGTAAAAGCTACCTTTGAAATTAAATATTTTACTCGCAAAGTTGTCATATTTCTGATCTTCTGCCCACTGGTTTCCAATCAGACATGACCAGTAAAGTCCTTTTTCACATACGTAACTTCACAAAGATAAAATAAAAGCTCTGTAATATGAAAACGTAGGTTCTACCAGACTGTGCTTGAAGAAATTTCTAACAGACACTGAAAGGACACGTTCTTCCCTTCAAAAACAAAACATATTTTTAATAATATATGACTATTTCCCTTGTATCATTTAGAAGATTAAAAAGAGAGAAGTGAAGAACTGTATCTTGAAGAAACTGTAAGAAAGACGGCATCAAGACAACATCATCCAAAGACAAGACAGAAGGACCATGAAATAGCAGGTTATTATTGATTTCTGCTTTGATAAAAATTACCTTAAGGATGAAATCTTGCTTTGCATCTCTTGACTTAATTTTAGCTCTTCACCAGATCCACCTTCTCTATGGATGGTTTCTGTAGTCAGCCCCGTCAGCCACCCTAAATCAATATATAAAGTTTATATTCCAAATAAGCTATAAATAAAAATGTACACCTAGCTTTTACATCTGTGTAGAGTGACTTTAGCTCAGGATTTTGGATAGGGAGAATAAAGCTCTAGTTTTATCCTTCTTTGGAGGATACACTCCAAAAAGGGATGGCTCTAGACATTAAACATAGATTTTTATGGGTTGGTAGTCATTCTATATTTACAAATTGAAAAGCATTACTTATCCTTTCTCATAGAGCACTTTAAACAAATAATCCATCTATAGGTATTTTTATCTAAGTGTTTACTATTCAATCCTACTACTTCTGATAGAAGTTTTCCTAATAGCAGCACTGTATTTGAAAACACTAAAGAGCTGTAAATTTATAGAAAACTGCATACCACGTAGTATATATTGAGACAAGAAGCTGTTGGTTGATGTGAAAAAAAAAAAACTTTGTTTTCTTAATGGCATTTACCTTTAAAAAATAGATATACGATTTTATACTGTGATACCTCAGGTATGGTATGTAGACTTAGGTGTTCGGCAGAATTAAAACGGCAAAACTGCATTATTACAAAACGCACCACAAAAGTGGCCAAGTAAACGCTGACTATCTTTTATATTCCTCAGCTACCTACCTCAACAACTAAGAAAGTCAAATAATGGTGCAACGTTTAAAAAAAATCCACACAAGTCATACACTGCCAGGCTTCAAATGTAACTTCTGCTGTTCAGAGCAGTATTTTTCTTTTCTACCAAAATTTACCAAATCCAGCCTTCTGTACCCCACACTGGAGTTTGCCTTTGCAAAGCCAGAGGTGCGCATGTGTTTTTCTTTTACATCTCTATTCCATACCACACCCAGCTTCTACTGAATGAATGAATAAGAGGCAGCTTACCTGAATAGGTGCATGCTAAAATTTCATCATATCCATCTTTTCCTACGCAGCCACCTTGGATTGACACAATGCTCTCTGATAATGCCTTCAAATAAACACATTCAAGGAGAGGGAAATATCACTGGACTCATTTTAGAAGTTTGGTTTCGCATTTTTTAGTTTTTTTTTCCTTTTTTTCCTTTTCTATTTTTACTTCTTCCTTTTTCCCTGCATCACAAAATACCTACATAGATGCAGAGTATCTAGACACTAAAAGCAAGTAAACTAGCTGATGACCAAAGCTAAATCAGGCTGCTTTAATTAATACATTTTGATACTGCCTTTGCTACATAGAGTAGAAAGAGGTGGCTTGAAGTAAAACACTGATGTACGCACATTTTTCCAGGGATAATCAACAGTCTGATTGAAAGCTAACATAATCCCTATAAAATAAATCCACAATTTTAGAAATTTATAATCAAGCCTAGAAAAATTCTGACAGCTAACATTCATTATTTCATATGCAAAAGACATTATACACAAGTTGGGTTTAGTTTCTTCACTCAGGTTTCACCCAGGACAGGGTTCAGTAGTTAGCAGAGACAGGGCATCAATACAGCTGCCACACTATTATGATTTTTACTCAAACCAGGATTATGTCACTTTCTGCTTTTCAAACCTTAGCATAACGCTTTGAAGTTTGTACTGCTAACATTACAGAGAGCAGTAATTTCTTTTAAAAGATGAATGTCATTATAGCTGTAACTTTCAATCTTGTAAAAGCTTCAAATTTTGAAATACAGATTTTTAATTCATTTTGCCAGCAAGAAGAATAAGATGAATATGGACTTACATGATCATATAGAAGAACCGGATCATCCGCACTCTCAAAGTTATAGACTTCTAGCATACCATCATCTCGTCCAATGAGTAATTCTTTAACCCCATCTCCCAAAATATCAAAACTATCAATACATAAGATACCTAATGAAAGGGACAAAGAAAGCACTTGCTTCATCTTTGTTTATGACATATACACAGGCCACATTAAACTACAGAGAAAGAATTCTAGGTCAGTTTTTAAAGTCTTGTAAAAGCTATTTCTGGCTGAGCGCATCAGAGAGGGCTGAAGTCTCTGATCTGTAGCCAAATGTCAAAAAAATGCCAAGTGATTTTATGGTAGCCAACACCAAGTCAACACTAAGAGCCCTCTCTAGTGAGCAACACCGCAGGTGAACAGCACTGTATGGATATCCCTTGTATGAAACCCCCAAAACTCACTCCTGAAGGATTTAACCCTGCCATGCCAAACTTCTTCCTAGATGAACTATCTGCCTGTCCACTCCACTCTACTATTCTTTGTTTCTGAGAGCATAAACAGAGCTGTAATCAACACACTACTACAAATTCTGAATAATTTGACAGAAATAGGGTTGTGGCTTGTGCCAGATCGGGATTAGGTCTATAGTGCTCAATGACATGTTAGTGTGACAACCCATTACCACTGAACCAGGTGGAACCACAGTCTGTGACAACCAGACAGGCAGAAAGAGCTATAGAATGGAGGAAAGGAAAGGAGGGAAGAGGGAGGGAGAGAGAAAGGGTGCATAAGCTTTAGTGTAAGACAACAAGAAAAATCAGATGGAATTTGAGCATTTCAAGTATTGCAAGGGAACAGTATGGCCATACTTAATGCATTTTAAAGTTTAATGTTTTCTTTCGTGGGATAATTAAATTCACATTTAAAAAAAAAGGCATTTCTGGTCCTTTCCTTTTCAATGGAGTAAAGGCTAACACATGCTGCAGAAGCAACAGTATACCAAGACTGAAGTGCAGAAAGCATTCTACTATGTTCACACCACTTAAACCATACTGTGCAGCTTTAAGGAAATCTTTGCACTATCTTCAGAGAAAAACCTTAAGAATGATTTAACATAAAAATAGTCTTGGAGGGAAGATGCAAGCCTTTCCTCTGAAAAGACCTAGGGACTACTGAACATGTGAAAAATTTAGCATTTACACATTCACATTGGCATTTAAAGATAGTCACAAAAAAACATAAATTTCAAGGGATTATATATGAATTTGTATTCTGTTTTAACATTGTCCCTTTAAAAATCACACTATAACAACAAAGTTATGCTAAAAGACTGGAAATAGTACGAACAGAAAATCCAAAGCAAGATGAATTGATTAAAATTTAGGAGAAAGAATAAAAGAGAACTTATTCATATTAATATCATACACTGCAATAATTATAATGCAGATCCAAAATATCTATGAATAAGACCTCTTGATTATAATACTTGTAATAATACCTAAAGCTGGAAAACCAGAGATGAGGAGACTGAGACACATACCTCCTCTCTTCTTTTCATTTCCAATTTCCCACTTATGTACAGGACTGGAACCAGTAATCTGGATCAGACCCACTTTACCATCAGAAGTTCCAAACACAACTTCTTCTCCAGAATCACCTAAGCACATAAATTCATCTTAGAATCAATACAATTATATAAGGATTTTAAAAGTATAGCTGTACTCTGCTTCCCAAGAATTTAAAAACCAAACAAAGAATGCTGTGCAACAGAACTGCCAAGCTTCAAAAAAAGAGGCAAATGTAATAGTTGCAGTTTTCATGTAATTTCTTCAATGCTCGTATTTTCTTGTGCACAAATATCCTCCTATACTGGAGTTCTGCCTAGCGACCAAGGCATTCATAATCTAGGACTTTAAATTTAGGCAGAGGGGGACTTTGTAGTTGCCTTTACAGAGAGAGAAAAAAAAAAAGTGATTCACTAAGAACATAGATCTAATAGTGAATAATGCATTGAGAGGTAAGCAAAAAAAGTAGTACTTGGCCAAACCAACTGTGAACATTGCTGTCAAATGGTCTAACCAAAACTAAACTAAGCACCAGATTAAGACACCAGAGGGATTTATAGTAGGTTAATACATATTAACAAGAAGGATGATCAAACTATTTTAAGCCTGATCCTTCTTGATCCTTCTGCCACATCCTCAGTGCACAATAACACTACTGAATATTCTCTTCCATGCACGGATGCACACAGCTAAGGATTCCCATTAAGAAAAACTACATGTAAGAGAGAAATCCAAAACTCAAACTAGCTTGAGGTCTCCAGAAGGGTAGTTCATATTTACACATACATGATGAAACCACTTTATATCTCACTGCTGCTGAAAGAGGCTTTCAGTGAAATGTGAGTATCATTTAGAATCATCTAAAAAGTTACATATAAGAATTACAGTCAGTGCATAAAAAGCAAAATGGGGGAAGAGTCTCTAGCCTCAAATCTCCACAACCGCCTCACCAGTCTCAAACTAAAGGCACTATAGTGATCCTCCTGCCATCTCTCTCTTTTCATCTTATTATTTTCTCACTTGCCTAAACAGTATTAATGCTGTAACTCTGACTCAGAAACTGTTTTTGTGTGTTTGTGTGTGTGCGTGGAGAAAAAGGTATCTTTAACTTTGAATTTCTTTTAGTGAGAACAGGCCTTTCATCCCTTTTGCCACATATGAACTTCATCCACTAAAACAACAACTAGATCAACTATAATGTCTTTTCAACTATAATGTCAATAAATGTTCAGTTATATGTATACCACAAATCTTGTTACCTCCATTTCCATTGTTTAGAGCAAGAACAGTAGGTGGTCCAGAAACTTCTACTTCATACAGTAAATCAGATCCCTAAAGACAGAGAAAAATACTTCAAATGATTTTTTTTAAATATTGTAAATAAAAAAAATGGAGTACATGTATACGGGTATCCTTTATTCATAAACATTTATTCATAAACATTTACTCATAAATATTCATCTATTCATAAATAAAACAAAACATTCAAATTTTAAAAGGTCTTAAAATATGTTATTATGTTATTACCATATAAACATTCATTTTATGGTAAGATATACTGAGAATTCATCTGCTAGTATGAAGTAATAGTTATATTATTTAAGATGAGACAGAATTACTGTGACAGTAATTTACGATAGAAAGAATTTCCCTATCTATATATAGTTACACACTTAATCACTTGTGTGAGCAGCTGTAGTTACATGAAAACAAATTATTTATTGTTACAAAAAATGTTAACTACTTACATGTCTAAATTACAAAATTTATTTATAACAGATTTTTATAAATCCTTATTTTGCAAGTTTACTATCATGATTTCAGAAAAACAAAACTTCATTTCCCCCCAAAAAATTAATTGTATTATTACGGACAATAACACCACCAACTAAGATATAATACACTCAAAACATTTAAAATGTGTTGATTCACTTAAGAAATACCCAGATTCTATGGCATCCATACACAGAAGAAAAACAAGCAAATATTTTAACCTGTAAAACTCTGAGGACTCTATCCTGACACGCAAGTACAGGTGTAATGCAATTCACTCTCTCTACGGGAAGACAGAGAACATCATTGATTTTATCTCCTGACAGGTAGTAGTGCTGGTCTTTGCAGTCACAGTAATGGTTATAGATATAGCTTGCACAGAGGAAGAGATCCGATCCCGAGATATGCCTGAGAAGAAAACACTGCTTGGAGCACTTTGCCAGTACAGTTACAGGGATATTATTTTATCCTGATAATAATGCACAGACTGTGTTACTGCCTGCAGAGCCCACGGCAGATCCCATAGCATTAGCATGCCGTAAGCTATCCATTTCATCAGTTAGAAGAAAAAATGTTTCTTATGCACACTAGAACCATATGATTTATATAGTTCTCAAATTTTATCTCCTGTCTTCATGTCAAATCCTTAGAACACCTCTATAGAAATTTACCTAATGTATATTTGAGAGTATTAATTCTTCTCAAGACTGTTTATGTACAGTTTGTCCCAGGCCTTTTACAACCAAATCAAAGAATAAACAAGCTGATTTTCCACAGAAGGGGTAAAGGAACATCACGCACCATCCTAACAATCCCAGCTCCCATGCAGCGGCCTGGGCACTCTCTATTTGTCACAGGAAGCTCCTTTCTATGGGTCATGCAGCTGTTGCGTGCTAGAGCTGCACGCACACCTACAAACATATATTGCCTTAAGAGGCCTATTTCATAAAAACATAAACTAACTAGTTGCTGTGCATAAAAACAGATACGTAAATAAAATACATACATGGCTTTGATGCTGTCAGTGAGATTAGTTTCAAATGAAAGGAACTGCTTCCCTCTTTTTGTGAAACCTTTAACTTCTGATCCTGTAGCCACAAAAATTTTCTCTTGCGGTGTATTAAGAGCTCCTCCTAACTCCAGCCTTGCAATTTTTTGCCCTGGCAGCGTCTTGAACACTGGCTGTAAAATAGAAAAGGGATTTTAACCATCTCAATAATATTTTTACAGCCACCTTTTCACACAAAGGATGATAAATTTATTTTACTATTTCTGGCAAAACTAATGTTACTACAGACTATAGGCAGATAAAAATAATGCCGTATATTTTTCCATCACAAAGAAATCAACCACTTTTGAGCAAGTCTTTTAAATATAATAATCTAAAAAAAAAAGCTTTATAACATTTATCCTTATTTATCTAAGATAATTTCATCACTGCTAATACTTGTGCAATTTTTTTAATATTATCCCTCTTCCATATTGCACTCCATTCAAAAATACGTATTTAAACAGAAAAATACTTACCACAGCTTCTCCTTTTTTTATGCCGAAACATGTAATCACCCCATCCTGATCTCCAACAACAACCTTCAAAAGTATAGTAGAATATTATACTTTATTCCATTTGCAAATACTTTTTTTTAGAAAAAAATAACACTTTCACTAGATTAGTCATACTTTTCTGTGCTTTGGTAAACATTATGATGACCTATAGTACTTAGCTTATACAGCTGCATGGGATTATGCTTTACAACACTATATAAACTACTATAAATAGCACATTATTGCTTAAGAACAGTTTTGATGTTAAGTGAGAGCCCTTACTACCCTTTCTCTGCTTCTTGTTGTAAAGGCCAGAAATCATCAGGTGACACCCCCCAGACAGGCATATTTTCATATTTTGCATTTATTATTTAAAGAAATGCACTACTGATTGTGTTGAGTTTTCCTGAAGAACGTTTTCATCAACTTGAACCTATATTAAAGGTATTTTTTTTAAGAACGCTTTTATTTATATATTTTTTCTAGTAACATAGACAAGACTGCAAGGCCTTCCTTTCAGTTTCTGCAACTCTTTAAATTGCAGTCGTTCAGATTTTTTCTTATGATTTACCAGGTAGAGGAAATCAGAAGTCAATTAACATTATGCTGGTATCATCAGGGCACTCTGCAAACCAGGGAACAAATCAGCAAGAGGCTGCAGAACAAGCTCTCTGCCGCTAACAACGGGTACCTTCTGCGTCGCCCTGCGTCCCGATGCAGGGAGAAGCCTCATGGTCTTCTGCGCCGTTACTCCCACCTGGGTAAGGACACGTTTGGGGGTTTC